CATGTGCACTTATGCTTGTATGTGTTTATGCAACCGTAAATGAAAGTTGAGCTTTTATGATAAGCTAGAAAACATTGTCTTACTTAGTCTTAATTAGTATTCTTGGTCATTTTTATTAATCATTGATTTCCTCACTGTCTACCTCCTAAAACGACAATGACTGTTTATCAGAGAAATGCTGTGTGCTGGGTGCTAAGAATCGAACACCTCAAGCCTAGAAGGATCTTAATGAGGCACCCCAGAAAAAGCTTTATTATTGGAGCTATGTCTAGGAATATTATAAGAATAGAGAAAGGGAATCGTGGTCATACACTGCTTCTGAGAGTTAACATGAGTTGTCTTGAAAGATAAGCAGGAATCAGCCAGGCAAAGAGGGAAGGAAAGAAAATTTTATATGAGGGAACAGCCCAGGCGAGTCCTAGATACATGAAGAATCATTGCACATCCCAGCCTCTGCAGAGTGTCTTCAGTATGTGTAACATCATAGTTTTTATTGCAGGGGGTAGAGGAGGAAACCAGGAAAGTGGTTAGAATTCATAAAAACTCAGAAACTATTTAAAGAGATAGAAGAGAGTTACTGCTTCTTATAACTCAAAACAAAAGGCTTGATTATTAGTAGGTTAATTTTGTTGAGTGAATGAAACCAAATAAAGGCAGCATTCTTGTCACTTTCCCATACATTGTGCTGCCACTGAAAGATGTCCCAGGAATTATTCACTGTCATCGGGACATCACTGGCCATAGCTTCCATTGTTCATAGGTTCAGCTCCAGTCAGCTTAAGATTAATCCAGAAAGGCTAAAATTATCCTAGAGAAGACAACAGCTTAGATACCAAATTTGAAAGGACTCCAAGCAATATTATACAGGTAAAAATTAAATTCCCACCTCACCAACTGAAGTTGTAAAATTATTTATCTATATATATAAAGAGCCAGATCTATATATCTATCTATATAAAATTATTTATCTATCTATGTAAAGAGCCAGGGTCATAACATCCAAAAAGACCAAAGGTGTGACCGAATGCCAGGCTGTGCACACAGCAGGCAAGTGGGCTTAACTGCTGACCTCTGAGAGAGAGAGAGAGAGAGAGAGAGAGAGAGAGAGAGAGAGAGAGAGATGAGGCCGAAGCTCAGAGAGAGAAGCAGGGTGACCAGACCCTACTTCTCTCTCCCGTCCTCACCAGCAGACAAGCCTCTCTCTCTCTCTCTCTCTCTCTCTCTCTCTCTCTCTCTCTCTCTCTCTCTCTCTCTCTCTCTCTCTCTCTCTTTCTCTCTCAGAGGTCAGCAGTTCAGCCCGCTCACCAACAGCCTAGGGCGGCTGGTGATTAGCCCTGCCTCTATGATCAGGCCCAGAGATAGGCCTGGAGATGCTGACTGGCATAAAAACTGACTAATCAGAACCTACTCTGGGTGAACTGCTGCAAAGGCAAAACCTAAAGTGGGGGCTGAAGAGGGGTTTTAAGGGCAACAGTTGTTTGGTGTAAGGTGTAAGGTAGTGACTCAATTTTTTAATGACCGGTGTGGTAGTATAGTGCATATGGCTGGCTATCAAGCTAGATATAGGGATTATTTGTTTTTGTCTGCCAAGAGCATCTTCTGCTGAAAAAGGCTCCCCTCGCCTCCATTTAAGCAAAACTATCATATATAATCTATACTGCTAAAAGGGTAGCATGCTAATTAGACCAGGTCAACTGGCCATCTTCATACATCCAACTTCCTTCCAGACAAAGCCATGGTGGTGGGGCCTGAAGAGGCAGTTAGGGGCAATCAGGCCAGCAGGGGAGGGCAGTTGGGGGTGATATAAGGTCAGTAGGGGAGGGCATTTGGGAGTGAGATCAGGCCTGCAGGGGAAGGCAGTTGGAGGCAAGATCAGGCCTGCAGAGGAGGGTAGTTGGGGGCAATCAGGCCAACAGGGAAGAGCAGTTAGGGGCAAGATCAGGCCAGCAGGGGAGGGCAGTTAGGGGCGATCAGGCTGGCAGGCAGGTGAGTGGTTAGGAGCCAGTCATCCCAAATTGTGAGAGGGATGTCCCCCAAGGAGTCCCAGAATAAAGGACTTACATTTAAATAATACTTTGTATTTTACAACATATGTTCATATATTCACAGCTACTTTCAGAAGAAGTTATTAATGCTTTCCCTATTTTTTACACACTGAGACTCAGAGAAGTTAGGTTATTTGTTTATAATAGCCAGCAAGGGACACATCCTTAAACCAGACATTCCATTCTGGATCCTTTACTCATTCATCCATGTTCAGAATTTATTTACCAAACAACCAACTATTGAATGTATCATGCACCATGGTAGCTACTGGGAATGCTGACATAAACAAGACCCAGTGCTGACCTTGTAAGAGTTTATAGAGTAATGAAGGAATCAGGTAAGAAAATAAAATATTTTAATATGGCGCAGTGAATGCTGTAATAGAATTAAGCACTTGATACATTTTGATTTTTATATACAATTACTAAAATATAAGGTAAAATAAATACTTATATCAGTATTTTAGCAGCTCTTTGAGTGTATATTCCATGTTTTTCTATTTGGGAATGTGGACTTGAATTATTTAAAATCGCATGGCAATGTAATAAATGTGTTTACAATTTATTATTGATAAACATTAAAATATATACATTGTCGTCTGAAATCTATAAGATGTCTTACACAGCTTTAGAGTTCCAGCTTTCTAGATATTATTTTCTGAGCTCAAAAGGGTTACATTGATTTTAGGATAATTTAGGTCTTAATTTTGCCTTTGCAGTGGGACTAGGTTTGATAATATTGTATGATTAGACGAACATGTATGGAAAGATAGTATTAAGAATGCCAAAACATTAGAATTACCCACCTTAGTTAGACTCTTATAATGAAATGTAGGCTGTGATAGTCAGAAATAATTATACCACCACACTGAGAGCAAGTAAAAGTAGAAATACCACAGACTTTTGAATTAAAAGATGAATTAGTCTTGCTTTTGTGGTCTTCTCTTGCGTAAGTAACTGATTTCTTCTTTTTGAAATATGTGTTTGAACAAGTGAGAAAGTACACCTGTCAAAAGATTAACCAGCTGAGAACCATTGTCAGCATTAATTTTTCCTTTAATAAATGACTCTCTGAAGCTATTTAACAGTCTGTAATCTGGACACAAAGCTAGTGACCTATGATGGATAGTGCTGGATTTGTTTGTAAGCTTTGACTTAAATTGTCTGCCTAATTTCTCTAAGTCAGATCAACAGGATTAGAAGGAAGGGTGGTTATGTGGTTTAAATAAAAATGGCTTTAGAAATTGAGAAGAATAATTGTAAAACGTTAATGATCTACCATGTATGTGAAATAAATTAAAAACTAAAAAAAATGACAATCACTTAAATGTCAATGTTATCCGAATGGTCAAATGACAGAGATTTGCTAATTAAAAGCATTTTTATAATTGGGGTTTTATACATAATCAACTCCTCAATTAGGGTGTCTGAAAAAATATTGAAATAATGTAATTTAACTGTATATATGATCCTCTCAGGCCTTCACCACATGTGGCTACCCCCTCTTCCAAAATTGTTTGGCTAACATAATGCTGACTTCTTTTGCTTTTAATAATTAGTTAAAAATAGCATGACCTATAAAATAGAAAGGCTACTTGATTTGGCAATTGCAAAATATTCACAATTTGAATGAAATAGGGCTCTCCTCACTTGGGCTTTTTATGTGTAAAAACTGTGTATTTCATTGAATAAATTAAATTCAAAAGTAGGCCATTACTTGCAGCTGTCCATTCTAATGGTCAGATTTGATACATAGTGCAGACAATTAGGATTTCTTTATTCCTAGCTGTACTATAAAGTTAGTTGTAAAGGCAAAAATTGTACTAATATAGCTCTTCTAATTCTTTCCTGGATTTGAACACCAAAACCTAACTGAAAACTTTGAATTAAAAGTTCTCTAATACAAAAATCAGTAATAATATCCTTGGTTTTATTTTACAGTTAATAAAAATGTGGGTAAATAAAACTCTCCCCTGCCACTCCCTTTCCCCACCCTTTTAGGGAAGGTCTAGGGCATATTTTCTGTGCTAAAGTAGAAGTTGTTTCTTCACTCATTTTCAATTAATGACCACGCATCAGACACTTGTAAAAAGATGCTAAGGACTAGCCAAACCAGTGTTAGTTTATTTGTTCTTCCTGCTCATATCACTAGGAATGAATTGCCCAAGAGGTAAATAGCTGAAAGTAAAAGAAAAATCAAATAATATTGGAAAGTGCACACCATTGTAATCACTCTAAATAAGCAACTATTTTCTCATTGAAATGCCTGCTTTGTTTATGGGAGAAAGCCAGTCACTCTTCGTGGATCTCATCTGCAGATAATGTGTGGAGAGCAAGCGTGTGAGCCAGAGGCTCCAATTCACACTCAGGCAGCAAACTCCCCTAGCTGCTCCCATGCTGGTTGAGACACAGATGACCTTTTTCAAACACTTTCTGTTACTGCTGAGTAGGTGACTTAGAGGCATAAGAGATGCACAAAATGACAAAATTCACATTTCAAATTCCTATGTCTATCTTGCCATGATTGTACCTAAATATTTAAAATGAATTGAGGGTTTGACTAAATCTGTCTCTTTTGGCTTGTGATTAACCTACATGATATTTAATTATTAAAATATTCCAGAAGAAATTTAGAGTGTCTTGCACATACCTGACAAATATAATTTTATTGATTTTTTACAGAGAGGAAGGGAGAAAGATAGAAAGTTAGAAACATCGATGAGAGAGAAATATCGATCAGCTTCCTCCTGCCCACCCCCTACTGGGGATGTGCCCCCAACCAAGGTACATGCCCTTGACCAGAATCGAACCTGGGACCTTTTAGTTCGCAGGCTGATGCTCTATCTACTGAGCCATACTGGTTTTGGCTGACAAATATAATTTGGAAGCAAGATGTTTTCAGTTAGTTTGGGGATTGTCTCTCAGTTTACCTTCCCTTTGCCCCAAACCATTCAGGTGTCGGAGCTGCTCGGTCTGGGAACCTCACGTTCATGGTGGGAGGAGTCGAAGAGGAATTTGCTGCTGCCAAGGAGTTGCTGAGCTGCATGGGCTCCAATGTGGTGTACTGTGGTGCTGTTGGGACTGGACAGGTAACATGTTCATTCATATTAACGGCCCTGGCTTGTGGTATAAAGTTGGCTAATGTTCATTTCTTATTCCTGACCATATTATTATTCCTACTTACTCTTTTCAATATGTGTATGTTTTGTTGGCCCAAGTATTCTTAAATTAATTTGAAATAAATTAGTTTTCCTTCATTCATGTTGGAATTAAGCAGACATTAGTCAACTTTTTTTTTTTTAAAAATAAAAAATGATACCAAGTTCCATCCTTCAGATTTTGGTATATCATCCCAGTGAGCCCCGAAATCATCCTTTAAAGCTGTTTCTGTTTGTAGTGCTCATGTTATCTGAATTGTTGTTATCCTCCTTCTAATTTTCTAATTACATGCTATAACTCTATTTGCAGTATAGTCAGGTAGATATAATCTATGCATTTTAATCTGTTTCTTGAAAACCAAATAGTTTTCATTTAGAAATATGTTATATCAACTTTCTAGTCAGACAGAGGTGAATGGAAATTCAGAACTCCGAAATTAAGCTGCTCATCTCCCTCTCATCCAAGACACACACACTCACACTCCCTCCTCTTAATGTTCCGTCCTGGCCTCTGGTCCCCTCAGACTGTGGTATTATTATCTTAGATATGTCAGTTGTCTCCATGCCCTTGTCTAGTCAGTCTCCAACTTCTATTGATTTTTGCTCAGTGGCTCTCATTGTTGACCATCTTGTCCATTCCAAACCAGATATCTCCTGATGCAATCTTTCTCGCATTGTCACACCTCGTTTATTGCTCCAGGTTCACCACTCTGCCCAACACGGGAAGCAAAACCAACTCCATCAAGATGCTTGTATCATTATAGTCCTTCCCCGTTCTGAAACTTTGAATAGCCCCCATTTCTTATCATGTCAAATGAATTTTAACCCTCCATCCTTCCTTAGCTTTCATAGCTCTTCCCAGTCTTAGTCATCAAATTTCTCACCATTCTTTAAAACTTAGGCACGTGCGTATTTACTGTGTCTTACATATTTACCTTTCTCCTTGCTCTCCTCCTTTCTCTTGCATGATTAAATTCTGCCTGGCCTTTGAGAAGTGGTTTCAGGTTCCACTTCCTCTTTGCTCTTATCTCAGTGATCTTATTTCATTGAACAGCTATTGTCTCTATCTATCTTATAGCCTCTACCATACAATTCCCCACTTGTTTTCATTGATTTGTTCATTGCCTTCTCATTCAGTGTCATTCCCATTTTCCTATTTAGAATGTCAGCCCCTTCCTTCTAAGAGCAGGCATGTCACAGAGCTCAGTATTCCCTCTCATGCTCAGCCCACAGGAGGAGCTCGGTGGGTTCTTACCTAGCGGGAGAGAGACCACGGCCCCTAGCCCCTGCTCTGGGATAGCGTTCGGCTCAGAGAGAAGCATGCAGCACCGTGTTCCTTTCCCAGTGGAGGGAAGCCACTGATGACTGTTCTTATTGTTAGAAAGAAGTATGTGGAATTGGGTGGAGAAAAACTTCCTGTGAGTTATAACTTGAACATAAAGGAATTTACTATGTACTCCATTTCTTTTCAGGCTGCAAAGATCTGCAACAACATGCTGTTAGCTATTAGTATGATTGGAACCGCGGAAGCTATGAATCTTGGGATCAGGTTTGTTGAATAGTGCATTTTCACATGCTAACAATTTTTATGAGCTTTTCTCTTTGATTTTTCTGATGTTGAAAAAAAAATGTTCATGAGATAAATGAGTTGATCCAGGAACACTTTGAAAGTACTTCATTATTGAACTTTAATAGACTTTGCTTATTTGACAACCAATAGGACCCTGGAGAGCATGAATATTCTTTGCCACAGCCATAAACTGCATTGTGCTGTATATTTAAAGTCACATTATCCTTTTTATGTGGAAGCTCCATTTCTCCAGTTATGTTGAAATGCAAGAAACACTTTTACTATAAAATTTAAACATGCTTTGGCAGTATGGGATAAATTTATATAAAACATAGCATTAATGTGTAGTGAATTCAAGTGTTATGCTACCCCATGACTGGTTTTATGTATATATTTTAAATATAGTTCCCAAAACCTACTCTATAAGGGCTTGTAGTTACTTATTCCCTGATCAACTGGATGCATACATCTTTCATTTTAACTTGTCATTGGTTTTGTCACTTTACATTAAGGGTATATCTTTCCATTAAAATAAAATGGCATTCATACTTTGCTTAAAGTGATTCAGGAATTCTGTTTTTCCTACGATGATGATCTTCCCTTAGAATGCTTAAGGTTAATGTCTTAGTTTGAGCCTGTAATTTTTTGGAGGTTAGGAATGCTACATTTGATTAATCACTTAATTAATTTTTAATGTTTTTATTTAATGAATTTAGTAAATATATATTTTTTACTTTAGAAAATGCTTGAAGAGCAGTGTGCTTTATTTGGATGTTTTTTTCACACTTCCCAAAACTACATACCAAACATATAACAGATCAGAGTGGTGCTTCATATCACATCTTTTGATAAAAGCAATATAAAGAGCCTAAGTACTTGAGATATTTTTTAAAACATAGTAATGGATTCACATTTCCTTTTAATTAGCATATCAAGATGCTGTTGTTTTATTGAATTGCCCTTGTCTCAGATGTTAAACTATCTTGACCTATTAAGTTGTCATGTTGTAATTGAGATAAAAGAGGAATTTGCTTTGCATCAGTGCTAATTGGTTTATCAATATCCTGTACCATTTACATTTTAAAATTGAGTGTCTGTAAGATGGTAAACTTAGCATATCTGTACAAATCTTTAATAAAACTGATAGTGTGTATAGGAAGTTATTCATTGTTATTTCTGTATTGTAGTCGGTTTTAGGCTATGGGTCACTTACCATAATTGAAAAACTAGTTTCTAGTAAGTTGTTTACATGTCTAGACTAATTTCATGGAGCAAGGAAATATAAATTTCTGGCACCAAAATTGCATACAAAATTAATTGGTGTTGACAGTAAGATTAGAGCATTAGTATGTATGTGCATCTCTAGAGTTCTATCTTCATTTTTTTCTGGATATAAATGAAAACACAGTAAAAAGTAAAAGCCTGGATGAATCTAGGTTATACTATACTGAAATTTTCCTCTTTATCTGTGCCTGTTACTTAACATTCTGCTTCGTACCTTGAGCATTACTGAGTCAGAATGTTCCTTAGGCATAGTGATGTAGCCTCTGGCATTTCTCAAATACTTTTCCCAGCAAAACTTTCATTAGATGATTATTTGCTGTTCTCAAATGAAGTTTCTGTAAGGTAAGTGCTGTGGAAGTCCAACTCCAAATACCAGCTAATAAAGAATAGTATGGCCGTGGCCAGTGTGGCTCAGCTTATTGGAGCATCTTCCGGTACAGCAGGTTGCAGATTTGATCCCTGGTTGCGGCATGTACAGGAGACAACCAATTGATGTTTCTCTCTCTCTCTCTTTCTCTCTCTCTCAAAAAAAATAAGAGTATGAAAATGGAATGAAATACATGCAATGAAATGTGTACACTAGCTACTAGAGTGGTTTATCAAATAAAAAATGAAAAGTGATAAAATTCCAAATAGAAATATTAAAAGCAGAAGCAATGAATAAAATTTCCCTTATCATTGGCCTTGATCCACAATGTCAAAAATAATACTTAGAAATATGAACTTTTAAATATTTTTTTTAAAACTCTAGACATTACTGTTCCTGATCTATTTATGTGTGTGTGTGTGTGTGTGTGTGTGTGTGTGTGTGGTGTGTTGTGTGTGTGAACACAAAGAACTCGTTAGTTTTACCTAACTGTTACAATAAGCTATGTTTCTGGTGCTTCCGATTGTATTAATGAATTGCTTATTTTCATAACATTAGATTTTATCAATCTATCTTACAAAGATTCTCAGTGATTTGAAAGTCCTAAAAAATGATTGCTTCTGCTGTTGTCTTTTCTTTATGGTTTACAGACCTGGTTTAAAATGACAGGATTGTTCTCTAATAGAGTACAGAGAGCAGCCACAATTTATTGAGCTTTGCAAGGTGAAAGAGAAAATTGGCATCAGTGAGCATAAATTCCCAAGTAGTAAATTCCCACAAAGTAGTACAGCATCAAAGTGGTTCTGCCACATTTATATTCCATTCACTCCAAAGGGAACATTTTTAGAGCATTAATGTCAACATTTACAAATTGAGCCACCTATTCCTGTGAAGTGATCATTTCTGATTAATTTTGTTCTCATAAGTCAGTGTTTTTCCTGAACACTGTTTCCTTTAAAGAAAAAAAAAAAGGAAGAATAAAATCTTACAGTTAAAAACTCTTATTGACTCTATGATCTTTTACAGTGAGTCTTTATGGATGTTAGTAAAAGTTTAAAATGCTATAAAAAAGTAATCCATAAAAAATATTGGTATACAAATGTATTTTGGGGTTCTTTTTTACTAGACCTTTCTCCCTTCTGATTGGGTTCTGGTCGGGATGCAGTTTTATGGCCCTTGCAGTACCCTGCTTGCACTAGAGAGCTTTTGTTCCTGTGCACTACATAGAACAGCGTTGATAGTTGAGTTGTGTTGTTTTTATATTTGCTCCACCGGGAATTTTTATTAATATTATTATTTTCAGTAGTGGTGGTAGAAGTTGTTTGCATTACCAACCAGGGCCCAGGCCCCTCCAGCAACAACCATATTGTCTTCTTCCGCCAAAAGCCTAACAGTGAACTTCTGGAAGGCTGTTCAAGATGAAAACTTGCCCAGAAGAATAATTTTAGTTTCTGGACTCTTGCCCTTAGAAGATGTTGCCTGTTTTGTGTTGATATTTTTGTGATGACTGAAGCCTTACGTGTATACCCTAGTAGATTTAGCAAATGGCAAAAGTTTTAGAGTAAAAGTTTGACCCAATTTCTTAATAAGCTGGTAAAATGCCATTAGATTGGCTGGTTGGCTATCAAGTTCACTACCCAGGTGGCCCAGTGAGACTTAGAGGATGAGTCTTTGAGAGTTTGGGTGTCTGTTGATGTCTGTATCCTGGCTCTGCCATCGACTTAAGCTTTCCTTATCTATAAAATGACAAAAATAATAGTATCTTTACATAGGGTTGTAGTGAAGAGTAAATGAGTTAATCCATGTAAATCTTTAAAAACAGATTCTGGCATATAATAGCTACTCAGTAAATGACGGTGATTGATGTGATGGTGGTAGTGGTTAGTATTTGAATTGAATATACTTGAAAGCCTTTTCTTCATAACACTTCTCACTAGATGGCATTTTATATACAGAAGACATATATATGTATACTAGAGGCCTGGTGCGTGAAATTCATGCACTCGGTGGGGCGGGGGAGGGGGTCCCTCAGCCAGTCCTGCACCCTCTCACAGTCCAGGAGCCCTCAGGGGATGTCCAACTGATGGCTTAGGGGACCACGGCTCAGCTGGAAGTCAGACATCCTTAGTGCTGCTGTGGAGGCGAGAGAGGCTCCCACCACCACCACTGTGCTTGCCAGCTGTGGGCCCGGCTTCTGGCTGAGCCGAACTCCCCCTGTGGGAGCGCACTGACCACCACAGGGCAGCTCCTGTGTTGAGCATCTGCCCCCTGGTACTCAGTGCACATCACATCATAGTGACCAGTTGTTCCATCGTTTGGTCGATTTGCATATTACTCTTATTATATAAGATGTGTGTGTGTGTTATATATGTTTGTTTGTCTATTGTGTCTTCCCAACTTGAATACAAGCTTCATGAAGGGGAATGGCTTTGTCTGCTCACTGCCATATCTTAAGAACGTACTTAACACATAGTAGACCCTCAATGAAGATTTATCAAGGAGATGATAAGAGGAAAGAAGGAGAGAGGAAGAAAGGGAGGGAGGGACACAGGCAGACAGGCACTTCTCCTGCCTCAGGTCAAAGGTATCTGGGTGTGTGTCTTACCCGGCCTGCTCCTGGAGGGCAGGCACAGCACTCAGCTCTTCACTCCGTTCTCCTTGGCTCCAGGTACAGCACCTGCGCATGGAAGATCTGTGTGAGCATTTGCGAGTCACTGAGTGGCTGTCAAAGACTGACATGGGCTTAGATGTTCCACTTCTAGAGCTGTTCACGTTAGTGAAATCATTGGCTTTGTTCTTACATAAAACCAGACAGTGTAGATAGATACAGAGGCTATAAAGTGAACAAACTTAACTTGGCCCTTAAAAGCCTTGGTTACAGTGAAGGTAAACATTTGGATTCTCTAATTTTTTTTTTCTTTTTTACAATTTATGCATTTTTACTTCTATCAATAGTTCATTTAAAATTCTTGTGTTGTAACGGTGAGTAGATTTGACACAGTGACGTTTATATGAGTTGCATTATATATGCGGTCAGAGCAATGAATTCATTCTGTTTATATCAGAGAATATTCCAGCAACTGCAACGCCACATGCATGCACGCGTGCACTCACGAACCACATCCAGTGGCAAGTTATTATGAGGACTGACAGACTGTCATCCTCTTGACGGCTTGAGCTGTATATCTCCCGAACAGCAGTGGGGCTCTTATGCAGAGAGTATCATATGTTCCCAGCCAATTTACAGGGAAACAGCAATAACATTTTATCATGGTTGAGAGCCCAGTAGCTGCTTCCTATTAAACTTGCCCTTTCAGATACCTGTCTTGGATTAATTTGTTGATTTCAGATGGAAACTCAGTCTTCTCCAGTGAAGCATGACGTGCTAGGATAGACTCTCTGAATGACAATTACTGTGTATTCGAGCTGGTTTCAGCGGAAGACAGAGGACTCCAGCAACTGATTTTAATATCGTGTCTAATTTTAACTGTCAGTTATATATGTGCCAGTGAAAAAACCTCCAGAAAGATGAAATGCAAAACACTTCTTACTTGCTCTTTTTAATGCTGGGCGGGGGCGGGGGGTGGTGGTGGAGGAAAAGCGGAGAGGGAGTCGCCATCTCCTGAAGGGGATCAGCGTGGTGGGAGGCAGCTGGTGGAGAAGTGAGCACGCAACCACCGCCACCTCGTTTCTGCGTGCCCCTCAGGGTGCTCCGAAGCGGCAATGTGTTCATGCCATAAACGAGTGCCAGTGTTTTCCCGGAACATTCAGGAAAAATGAAACTTGGGGGTTTACAAAGGATAATAAGCGTTGCTCACCATTTAGGTGAGGCTTACAGACAAGGCATGAATTTCTTTAGCAGTACGAGCTGTGGTGAGGTACTGTCACACTGTAACCGGGCGAGTTGTAAAGAGGGGAGCGACTCTGCTGCTTTAAATGTGGGGAAAAGCGATGTTGTGGGGCCTTTAAATATTTCTGCCCATGGAACACATTAGCCGTTGTGCCTAGACAATGTCGCGGCAGTTGCAGCAAATTAACTTGTTAATTTGTGAGTTTACTTTTCACAGTTCTTCCCTAAGCATGTTGGCTGCTGCTTTTCCAAAGTCACCCGCTGCAACGGTGTATTGAGAGCCTAATTTTATTTGAAAGGGGAAAGAAAGCATTGGTAGCAAAGTATACACGTAACAAACTTTGATATTTATAAAAGAATGAATGAAACTTGTTTCTTCCCAGCAGTCTACAGTGGGACGGAATGTGTGATAGCCAATTTCAATTGGGTCTTTTATATCTTTTATAATCCTAAGGAAAAACCTCTCATTATAACAGGACCCACTATATGAATTCATATAGATGGTATGCCATGTAATAATATGTAACAGTTTTATTACATGACAAGTCCATATACATCTTGGCTATTAGCCCAAGCCCCCTGTACTAACACTGGCAGAATGTTTACTGGTCATGATATTCAGCTTTGGAAGTAAGCATGTGTGTGTGTGTGTGTGTGTGTGTGTGTGTGTGTGTGTGTATATTTAGCAGACATATATTTTGAACACACTAAATAAACAAGAACTTAAACATGCCAAAATGCACAGCTTGATTAACATTTATATGTGTCTCTTTCCAGTCTTTTTTATTTTATTTTATTTTATTTTATTTTATTTTATTTTATTATTGAAGAGATTGGTTTTAAGAAAAAGCAGCAGGTTTTATTTGAAACTTGATTTAGTGATACTTAGCAAAACTGTGCTTCCCAAACTGCACTAAGAGACAGGATCAAAGTAATACAGCATTTGATTCTTTTTTTTCTTTTTCTGGGTCCACATTGAACAGTCGTTTTATGCCATCAGCCCAGTGATAGAACAAATGATGTTTCCGCTTGGGCAAGCTTTGTTTTATCAGGATCAGTAACCTTATCAGCAGTTGACCCAGAACTATAATGCATGTCTCCGAATAGATAGCATATGTCACAATTCGGTGCAGACTTGCTTCATAAGCAAGATTGTCTGAAGAAGATTTAATAAACAAGGAAAAGTCTGCAGGAAGAAAGGTCTTCTTTGATAATGACAACTTCTCTTTAAGCTCACTTACTGCCTGTGGCTCAGCTCTTGCATGTATACTCAAAAAGCTAAAAGAATAAACAGTCATGAAAGTGCACACAGACTTCCATGATGCATAGTTTCTCTGTCAGTATTTCTTTCTGAAATATATAATTTGTGAATAAAGAATGTAAAACTTAGATGATCGTTTTAGGTTCTTATGTGACACGTAAATGCATGATGTCCAAAAGAGAAAGACATTTCTTTTTCCATAGAAAACCCACGTGTGATAAACCAACAACACTTCTTCTCTGCCACTGTGTTATTTCTTAGTAGAATAGTGCCAAAGGTTTTCTCTCATTGAGCATGGTTTGATCACTAGTGAATTCTTCACTCTCACCCATCCGCTTTGATTTTTGAAGACCTAAAATAAATGGAGAGAGCATCCTCCTAGGTAAATAAGTCACACATGATGTGTACACTTTGACACTTAACACTTCTTTTCTTTGACCTTTGACAGGTTAGGGCTTGATCCAAAACTGTTGGCTAAAATCCTAAATATGAGCTCAGGACGGTGTTGGTCAAGTGACACATACAATCCTGTACCTGGGGTGATGGTCGGCGTTCCCTCGGCTAATAACTACCAGGGTGGATTCGGAACAACACTCATGGCGAAGGTATGGCAAACACAGAGGCTTTCCAAGAGAGGGGAAATGTGTGATGCTTTAATTCTCCCTTGCTTCCTCCCTCCTTCCATCCTTTCCTTCCTCCCTCCCTCTACTTAGGTTTGCACATCCTCTGCTCGGGCTCTTACAGTTATGCTGTGGGGCAGTCGCTGGAAACAGAAGGTAGCCCCCTAGGTGCCTGTTCATCAGCTCTGCAGGGGGGTGTCAGGGCACCTGGGAGAATGAGTCACACTTACGCCGTTTCCCTTCTGTATTTGTGTGAACTGGGTTGTGACCTGTTAGCTTATCTGGTTCCTAAAAGTCTGCTAAGGGCTCCCACAGAGGCAGCAGCTAACAGGTCAGGTGTCGGCGAGAGAAGCTTCTAATCAAAGGGGATGATTTGGGCCGCCCCATTCTTCTGCAGGACTGGCTCTATTCGGGAGCTCTTCTCCGGAGCTGTCCTCTCCTCAGCTGGACACCTTTTCTTGAGTCATTTTCCCCAGTGTCCCTGCCCAGGAGGAATCTGCCACTTTGATTTTAAAGGTCCTTCCTTTAAAATGACTTTCTTGATAATAAGAGATAGCTCTTTCAACTGCTAGCATAAGACAGCATAGTATGAAACACATGGATACTACTGTCTTATTCTCGTTTCTTCTATGAAACGTAGTTGTCATTCCCCTTATAGGGAAGAGTACTTCTTAATTTTGCTTAGACTGAGAGCACTTAGAGAGGAACTTTTAAAAATCTTTCTTTACCTCAGAGAGCTGTTAGCAAAAACACTCCACAGCCAGTTAGATTTGTGCAGATAAATTGATAGAGATTAAAGAAATCCCTCTCATGCTACAATGATGAAAGCCATAGCAGCTTGTTGGGCAGATCAGGGTTTTACTTACTAAGAGATGTTTTACTTAACTGCCATTAAGTCTTGTGCTAGGAATATGATGCTAGCAGGTCATTGAAGTGAGTCTTGTACATTTATTTCTAGGTTTTAACTCATAAGATTCTAACACAGTGTATGTATTTACTCAGGACATAGTCAATACAAAAACTAGATCTTTCTTCGGAACTCCAGAGCCTAGAAGCTGGTTTCTGATGGGCACTAGGCAGCAGCTTCTGGAAAATCACAATGACTCTTGGTACTCCCCAATGTGTCTGTTTCCTTGTAAAATATAGGTTGGTCTTCCATTAATTTATTGAAGCCGTTAGCAATTGTTTTATATTTTTCCTGAATCACCCACTGAGCTCCTGAGTTTGTAAATATTTTATTTGATGAGTAAAGTGGGATATTCATTTGTTTTAAATTCTCTCCAGGAAGCTTCAAAGGACGCCTTCTTTTTCTAACACTCAGGGTTACCAGACTGAAAGGCCACCTACCTCTTCCTTTTAAGAATGTTCATGCTTTAAGGGCGCAGCTACCAAAGCATTTGCGTTTCCCTTTTTGGGTTTTATGAACTCTTATTTGAGATAATAATTTACTTGCTCCTTTGAAAGACTCTCATTAGAATTTTTTTCTCAATAACGTTGTCTTCTCAATATGTTGTTTTTGCTGAATTCTTATATTTTAGTTTTATTACTAGGTTAAAAGTTAAGTGCCATCTTCCTATGTAGAATTTTCTCTTCATTTAAAAATAAAAGATCTTATAGGTGTGCTGCTCAATGGTGTTGACAAGAGGCTGGCCTGCCTGTCAGCACATGAGCACTTCCACGCTTGTTAAGTGTGTGAGTGATCATTCAACTTGCTGTTTAGTGGAAGCTATAGAACATGGTTCTCAACCTGTGGAGAGCCTGAGACCATCAGAAAACACAGATATTTACATTACAATTCATGACAGTAGCAAAATTACAGTTATGAAGTAGCAACGAAAATAATTTTATGGTTGAGGGTCACCACAACATGAGGAACTGTATTAAATGGTAGCGGCATTAGAAAGGTTGAGAACCACTGCTATAGAAGAATTTAAGGTTAAGTAGATTTTTCAGATCTACCTCTTTACATGTGAAGATTATGCAAATAAACGCAAAATAATGCTTGTACCTGTGATATCATACATATTTAAGAAGCTAAAGGTTTCATTCATTCTTTAACATTTGCTTTTTTTTCTTTGAGTCATTTTCTCTCTTGAGTGGATAGTATAGTGATTGCTCAAGTACGTTTTGCAAAGAGTAGAACTAGTTCTCATCTTCTTGCCTTTCCCCTCTCGTTGCTCATTGACTTGCTCTTGGTGGGGGAAGTGAGCGTGGTAATGGTAAGGAGAAAATCAAGTTGGTTTTGCCACTTGTTTTGCAGCTCTAATAAAATCACAAGTAAATGAAATAAGGGGAATATTGTTTCAATTATCCACACCTGTCTTGTCTGCCATGTACTCCAGATATTTCAAATTTGGACAAGATTCCATTCTTATGGTAGTAGATAGCCATTAGGTGCAGTTTAACTATAGAAGATTTGTGATGTTAACTTTGTTTTCTAACAGCCATATGTGTTCTGAAACTTTCAGAGTGCAGGATGAGGTCTGTGAGATGCTGAAGGGCCGTTGTGAAGATGGTTGTCCCACTGCACTTCAAGTGCAGACATTAAAGCTTCCGTGCTCCACCTCTGCCGTCTGGCCCCATGCTCTCCCGTCCCCTTGGCTTGCTCTAATTCAGCCTCATTGGCTTCATGTTATTTCTATACTATGCACACCATGTTCCACTGCAGGACCTTGACCTTGCTATTCCAAATGCCTGAAACTCTTCCCTCGGCTCTCCAGAGCACTCACTACCACCCTAACATCCAGGTCTTAGGTCCAGTGTCTTGCCTCAGAGAGGTCTTCCCTAAACATTTCCTCTATCAGAACTCCCTTCCCCCACCCCCCCCTTTGCTGTCCATCACTTTAACCCCTCACCCTGCTTGCTTTTTCCTCACAGCACTTGTTGTCTGGAATCTTAGGGTTTGTTTTGGAGTCTGTCTTCCCCCGGACAGTCAGCATAGAGCAGTGACTGGGTATCACCAGCACTTAGAACACTGCTCAGCACATTGTGGCTGCTAAATATTTGTTGAATAAGAGATTGAATGGATATCCAATAATTCCACAATGGGGTTTGGCTTAGGCATACAGGCTTCTGCAGATCCTGAAAAAACATTTGCCTGTGTGATCTCACCCTTGTGCAAGTCAAAGTCACACACACAGGTCTGGTGGAAGGTGGAGGAGTGGGGCAGGGCGGAGCGGGGGCTGTGTGTGTGGGGAGTGGGAAGAGAGGGCAAAGTTATTATAAAATGTACATATACATGTAGTTTACCATAGTGCTTATGGTAAACTTTTTCTTCTTTGAAACCAAAGCCTTGGGGAGCCACAGTTCAAAATGAGCCTTCCTCCCCATCTCAGCGTGTCTCTCCTGCCTTTGTTTGGTTTAGGATCTGGGATTGGCACAGGACTCCGCCACTAACACAAAGAGCCCGATTCTCCTGGGCAGCCAGGCCCATCAGATCTATAGGATGATGTGTGCAAAGGGCTACTCGAAGAAGGACTTCTCGTCCGTGTTCCAGTTCCTGCGAGAGGAGGAGAACCTCTGAGTTGGCACTTTGGCCCTGGACACTCTTGGAAACCAAACTCTGTCTTGGAGCCTCCCCACTGCTCACTCCACAAGTAAACGAGCTTAATCAAAGGTCACCTGTCTGCTTCAGATTGTCTAGGTCACAGTTAAATGGGTTTTGCACCCATTTTTTACTGCTTATTTTTATCTATTTAGCAAACACACATTATCTGATTTTTTTTTTTTTTTCTGCAAGCCCCCAATGGTCTCTGTTAACTAGCTGATTGACCTTTTTCAAAAGTTTGATCCTTGAGCATATTCAACTAAATCATTGATTACTTCAATCAGGATATTATTTATACCACTTTACAAACAAAACAAAATATTCTCCAACAGGACAAAATTGATCTTAAAGAGGAGAAAAAAAACACAAAAAACTGCACAGAAGGAGTTAGAGAACGGGGGAATACAGTGAGTTACTGCCTGTGTCCCTCAGCAAGCTTGTCCTGTTTACCAGGTAGTGGTATTCTTGCATTACTGAGGTTACTGTGTTATTTTCTGGGGAATTGATAAAGCAGGAAAACTCCTTGCTATATGTTTTATAATTTGGACTCTGTTACAGTATCTTAGTGGGTCCCTCTTGTAACAATTCCCAATACTCAGCAAACTTGTTTTTATATTTTTCCTTCCTTGTACATTCTTACCACATATTTTTGACTTCAAAAGAATGACATCTTTAGACCTGTTTAAGAGCCAATGATGATATTTGCTTTAGATAATTATTATAGTATTCTACATAGAACCATATTATTTTGAAATTGAATAAATTTCTATGCTGATAATTCTTTCTTAGAGTTTTTGTGTCTTCCCAGCCATTCAGAGAACAATCAAATGGTCTGAAAAACTGGTGTAACAGAAGAATGGGGAAAGGGTGGGGGAAAAGGGAGGGGAATTGGCCAGTGGCAAGCCAGCACCTGCTGCTCTACCTGAACCCGTAGTCCCATTGGTTTGAGTGGTTTCTAGGTTGTAGGTGCTATGGAAACCAGCCGCATCAAATGTGATACATAACAACAGGGAGCACAGGTGCCACTTCCCCACCTCTGCGCCTAGAAATGTCCCAGGTCATAACCCTAGACACCAGATTAGGCAGAAGGACAACTTCCATCATTTTCTGGGTGATAAAAAATTCTAGGCCCTATCGCAAGTGCTGGAGCAATGGTGATGAACATAACTACAAAATCCTGCCTTTGTAAACTATAAATTCTGGTCTCTCACATGTGTGAGGTGTTGGGACAGACAAGAAATAAATGTTTAATCCATATGTCAGTTGATAATAAGGACTAATGGGGGAGAGGGGATAAGGAGGATGGATGGCATTACCAGGGGTACCTTATTAGGGTGGTAAAGGAGATGTTCTTTGATGAGGTGACATTTGAGCAGAGAAGGAAGTGAGGGAGCACACCTGCAGGATGTGAGGAAAGAACATTGTAAGTGCGGGGACAGGAAGTGCACAGGCCCGAGGCAGGATAACACTAGCTCCGAGGAATAGCCAGGAGGCTGTAAGTGAAGTGTCATGAAAAAGGGGGTGCAGATGCTGATACACTGCCACCTCCAATTTACTGGCTTAAAATAACGTTGATTCTTTTTCAAGGTTCTCCAGATTGCCTGTGTTCCTCTCCTGGACTGGGCCACCTCCTCTGGAATTGGAGGGTCTAGCTTGGCCTCACTCCGCTAGGGCTTCCCCGAGTTTGTTCACGTGGTGGTGCTCCCAGCAACAAACCAGCACTTTTCAAGCCCCTGCTCACCTCGTGGCTGTACTACCCCAAGGCTCCCATCCAAGCCCAGAGATCGCCCAGGAGGGAACTGTGGAGCTGTGGGCATGGGGAGGGGCATCACGTCATTTCGTAAACACCCTGTCATAGCCAGCCAGGGAGGGTCTTGTAGAGAGAGTTGATGTGCTCTGACTTACTTTTTAAAGGGATTGCGTGGCTGCTGGATGGAGAATGGATTGTGGGGGCAAGGTGGAAGCAAGGAGCCCAGTTAGGAGGTGATTGTAATAATCCAGTTAAGAAATGGTGGCGGCTGGGACCAGAATGTTCATGATGGAGGAGACAGGAAGACAGATTCTCAACATAAAAGAGCCATGAATGGCCCAGCCAGCATGGCTCAGTGGTTGAGCACTGACCCATGAACCAGGAGGTCACAGTTTGGTCCCTGGTCAGGACACATGCCTGAGTTGCAGGCTTGATACTCGCCCTGCCCAGCCTGGTGGCCAGTTGCCTGCAGAGGTGAGTCAGGGATTGCTCATTTACATGAGTTTGACCTCACTCCGGAAGTGGTTCTCCAGGAAGTCACAGAAATGATGGTCTGCGCAGGTGGAACCCCAGGCCTGCAGCTCCAAGAGGGCCTGGTTCAGGTTCCGCCAACTCGCAGAAGAAGTGGCCCACACCCTCAAGAGCCACATCGTTGCAATTGGAATAGAAGCCCAGAGAGAGGTAGGTGTGGGAGGCCTGCAGATGCAGGTTGGCCAGGTGGTTGACTTCACCTCAGTGGGATAATTCTGGCGAATTTGGGAGCTCATGGTCGTTTGGCAATAAGGAGTTGAGGTAGAAAATAAACGATGTGTGGGCTGGTCCCAGAGGTGGTTCTGAAGGTGGTGAGTGGATAAGACACAGGAGGGTGGCTGGAGGCTGGAAGAAGGGGCATACCTGAGTCTGTTCCGTTCAAACACTGTTGAAGCAAGAGACAGACCGGGACCGCGGAGGGCATAGCTGAATTGTACACTTTTAAATGGTGAGTTTTGTGGTATGTGAATTATATCTCTGAAAAATAAGAGGGGGAAATAATGAGATAAGATCTTCCTCTCTTGGTGAGTGCTTCTCAGCTGGGACAGTTTTGCCCCCAGGGGACATAAGACAAACTCTTTGGAGACAGTTTGGTTGTTACACTGGGGGTGGGGGATGCTATTGGCATAGTGTGGGTAGAGGCCAATGATGCTGCTGAGCATCTTACAATGCACAGGACAGCCCCAGGAGAATTATCGGTCCCCAGGTCTAGGATGCAGCTTGGTAAACCCTGCCCAGGTGTGGGTTCCACCGATACCTCTCACTTGGCATATCAAAACCTTAGCTCCCCATCCTCCCCAGCAGACCTGCTTCTCCTCCTGGTCCCTGCCCCATCCAGGTTCCCAGAACCCTCCCTGACTCCTCTTCCATCCGTTCTCCATAGCAAATTCTAAATCTCTAGCACCTTCCTCAGGCCCTCATCGTTTCTTGTCTAAGGTAATTCAGTCACTGCAGTTGCTTCTCTTTTATTTCTGAGTGCTTCACTGAGATATAATTTACAGACAATAAAATGTGCTTGTGTGTAATGTACAATCTGGTGACTTTCAGTAAATTTACAGGGCTGCTCCGTCATCACCACAATCCAATCTGAGAGCACTGCCCTCGCCTCCCTTCACCCTGGAAAGTCCCTAGTGCCCATTCACACTCCCCGTTCTCTCCCTCCCCCCCCCACCTCGCAGCTGTGGGCACCCTCTCTATAGAGTCCCAGCTGCTACTTAGCCACTGATTTGGCTCCTCCTCAATTCAGTCTTCACATCAGTGTGAGGTCCTTCTAAGCCTGAAATCTAAACCCAGTCATTCCCCTGCATAAAACCGAGGCCTTGGATACAGTTGGAACTCCTCCATGTGCTGTGCAGGGTCTTTGTGGTCTGCTCCCACTTTACTTCACCAGCGCCGGTCATTTCCCAGGCTTGCCCTGCTTCTCACACCTCCGTACCTCTGCGCATGCCGCTTCCCCACCTGAAATGGCCTTCTCCTCTCCTGGCTGATCAGCTCAGGCCCCATGTTCTCTATACGGCCTTCCTCAGGCTGAGTCGTTCCCCTCTGTCTCCATAGCTCTTGGTAGTGTCTTGTGTGTCATGGACGTATCCTATTGCGTTGTATTTGCTAGTCTGTCGGTCTGTCTTCCACACCAGTGAGCTCGGACAGCACCTGGCATTGAGCAAGGGTTCCATCAAGGTGTGAATGACTGAGGGGTTGGAAGCTAGGACATTGAGTTTGTGGTAGGTGACGTACTAATGGCCTGAACTTGTTTCTTAAAGGTTCTTCCTTGGCAGACCCCGTTTCTTTTACTCTGAGTTATGGTACACAGCTGCCCAAGAAGTCTGGCAGGAGGTGGGTCTTTTACAAAGTTTTCTTAGAGGGTTAGCTTATGCTGTTTTCCTGAAGAAACTCGTGGGGAAAAATAGGCACTTTTGGTAGTAAGCTTTTGTCTCATTATTTATGTACTTTAAGCTTCACCTTGCATGCAAATAAGCACACACAAATTTCCCTTAACCGGGCACAGCAATTCCAAATGCAGTCTTTTATACCCTGCAACATAGACCTTGAGGTGTAAGGTGAATCTCTTAATAACATAGGTTTGCTTTCTTTGAGGGATTCTGTGAAGTTAGGTGTTGAGAGATTCTCCTACCGTCCTATTGATCTGACATCATGATGATGGTGCTTATGCGCAGCCACAGCTGAGCCCAAATGGCCTCCTCTTCAGCCATCTTTCTCATTGCATGGGTTTTGATCTTGACTTTTATGCTAAGCAATCAGAAATGTGTGTGATCTGTCCACTTCCTGCGGGGCGTGGGGGAGAAAGGCATATCTGAGTAGTGTTACCCGTGTGCATAAATTCTACCCAGGAGCCCGCTGCTCAGGAAAACAGCACCATTACTGCCAGCCTCGGCCCCAGTAACTGTACCCCGGAGCATTCTCAGATGGCCGGCCAATAGGGAGTCGGCTGCCCGAGTGGGGTTTTTAACCATCTTTCAGCTCAATTGAAGAGGGAGCTTAAGGACATCATGGGGATTTGTAACGTTCCATGCAAGGTGTCAGACCCATAAGCTAGCATGTCCATCTCCGCGATGCGCACAGGGAAGCGTCTCTCATTGGTGACAGAGAGGTTGCAGATGACCTTTTACTGTGTAATTGTTTTCATCATTTAATAATTCAAGAAAACCTGAAAGGGATGCAGGCCTCTTTATGCAGACAAGAATGTGACTCTTTCGGAATGCTAATAGGAAAATAGGGGAAAGCAGAAGCGCTTTGCAGCCAGCCTGCAGGGAAGGTTCCCAGTGGCCTGCTTACCGGAACCGTCCCTGCCGGGGAGGCAGACAACTGGTCTTGCACTCGCCTGTGCATTGTCTTGGGTCTCTTTCCTTCTCTCAAATGAGAGCATTGCGCTGGCCTCCAAGGTTTATGTTAGCTCTGAAATTCTGCTTCCTCTTGGTTAAGGGTTTAAGAAATGTGAAGCATGTGCTCCTGACAGTTTTTGGACTCTCTGGTTGGGTATTATTTATTGCTCATCTAGCTATCTCATTTATTAGGTTTTTTTTTTTTTAATAGCCGGGAACAGATACAGGGATCGATACGTTTTTATTAATGATGGTCCTTCATGCCGGGTAAAGAGATGGCAAGAGGGCTCATCCAGAATGAGCCACTTGAATAAACCTGACACACAAGCTTCGCTACGGGCTGCATTTTGGCAGGCTGCGCGGTAAAATAATGACATTGGCAGAGTGAGCGACTGTGGAAACCTTCCTCACAGCCAGACTCATAAAATCAAAGGGCAGGTTTGGGGTGTGTTTCCCAGCCTTGGCTGTATATGCAAATCCCATGACTTTTTTGAATGTAGCATTTTATCTTCAAAAGGACAAATTTTGGCATTTGCTGCAGTCATTAAAAATGATAAATGCCTAAAATGCTTTCGAGTTGGGATTATTGGAGGTTAGAACAAATATTGTTTCAGTACCAAACAGGATCTGAGCGCAGAAAACTCCTCGCTGATGTTG